TGTGTGAGTTGTAACTAAGGAGACAAGCAACTATTGAAGCAAGGTGACGGAGAGCTAAGAATTGGGGGATTCAAAATGAGGAATAAAAATAAACTCGGAGTGGGACACTAGGGATGAAACAGCGTAAGAAAGGGGATAAGAAGACGGGAAGGCCTGGGCAATAGCATCCATATCCCTATCCACCCTGCTCGATGCAGCAGATAGGGCACCGTTTATTATCCTCTGCGACGGCCAGAGCATCGAGAAATTGTTAGAAGAAAGATTCATTGTATTGCGTGGGCAGAGTACTGTCAGTTTGCCCAAGCCTAGACAGGAGAACGATTAGGGTTCTCCACCAAAGACTTTGGTTCAAAAACCTTACCGCAAGACAGCGGTGTGCTGACACTGGACTATAAAGAGCCCGTTTTATGGAGTAAGGAGCCATCCTCACTCCAACCCTCAAACTGGAGAGCCAGGAGACTGAGTTTGTCTGGTCTCTAACCATTGACCAATCTGGTATGAGTGGCATTGCTCAATGGATCAGTGAGGCATACAAACCATCGCACCACGTTTCCAGTTTCGTCGCGATGGGTGTGATTTGTATGTAGATCACGTACAGTTTTACCTGAGGAATCATCACCAATGCGATATTTAATCGAATCAAGTTAAAAGTGGTTGAGGATATTGTAGACATTCCGCTGCGCTGTATCTCGTTTCCTTCCATACATTATTGACAACTTGAATCCGAGATTAAACAGTAGCTTACATCGAGCCCTTAAGTGCAAGGGAGAGAGAGTGATCGAAATAGCCTGTGGTGGCATCAAATTGTGGTAACCGATCTACCCCTTGCAGGGAATGCGTTGGAATACCAAGTCAACATTGTTCATTCTGGCGCCTCACCTGTCCCCTTGCCTCCAACGGACATTTTGTTTGTTCGCTTAAGCCCTCTTTGTGAGACCATTTTGAGTCCATTGACAACATACTTGATCACGTCCCCCATTCACTTCAGGTTTGACCCCGTATTCAAGATTTGATCACTGCCACGTCTGCGTTCGTCTTGACTAGGACTGTGCTGAGTTTGCGTTGCCTCTACATTCCAGGCTTTGTGATTTGGACCAGTTCGTGAACCAGCACCTGCTACGATACCCCCATTGTCCAATACTAGCGCGCGCAGATACATTGCGCACCTAGCCGAGCGGAAGGCTGAGGTACGAATAGCAGCGATACCTCAACTGCCGCCCGTTAGAGTTTGTCCACGCGTTGTCTCTTGCGGAGTCCCAGTGTAGTGGCGCGGAAGACAAGAATCACGGGCGGAATGGACAATCAAGCGAAACCAAGGAAGAGGAAACTTGATGAGAGCACCAGGGACGAAAGTAGACCACATAGCTCGAGGCCTACAGAACATGCCGGAAATGGTCCACGAACGACAAACGATATCAGGCCCAGGTCGAGAAGTACGGGGGACGTAGTGGTGAAGGTCCCGGTTTTTCGGAGAGGTACCTCTTTGGCGGCGCCTCCATGAATAATCCCAAAGTGAGTGACGCAAACACCATTAAACAAATCAAGAGCATAAGAACGAATCCAGCCCGGTCAGAATACGTGGAGCTGGAACAAAATAGTGGGCAAATAGGTGAAAAAGACATCTCGGATTGGCTAAACTCGGGGCATGACTGTGGCGCCGAACGAAAGGACAATGTATGATGCGTGGCGGGCTGGAAATGTCCTGTATACGTGCGCGCGCGGCACGCTAGCGTGTGAAGCGTTGTTCGTTGGCAATGGGGACTGTACGTCCCTACCGCCTCCGTCTCGCGGCACTAGTTTCATAGTTACCACTGGTTGCTAAACACTTCCCAAAGCGTGATCACTCTACACGTCATCGGGACCTGAGTTCAACAGCCATACAGGCACTACAGTGTATACTTGTCTGAATGTTATTGACTGTTTTGGGCTTGGTCAAAACGAACGGTACGCATTTATGTGTGTGTGCTTAACCAGTATGCAATTTGAATGCGTTATGGACTAGGTTGAATAGTCTTACGGAGGATTATTGGTCCTTTAAGGAGCAGTTCGAGTGTATTGTGGATGGTTTTCGTTCTGGCTCCATGTCCTTCTCTTGGATTGCTAATTATATATGGTTGGCGACATCCGGTTTGCCTGTCACTGTGGTCAGCCACAGGACGCCTGCGCCTACAAAGGGACCATGGGTGACTTGCGCTGCGCCACCCACAGCTCAAACCATACACCCCATATCCAGTGTAAACCCGAAGGAATAAGGCCGGGAGCCATGTGGATGGGAACCAGGTTTCATCAATGGAACCGACCCACACTCCTTCACAGGAAAATACAAGCACGCTGTATTTGGGAATCAAGCGCATACAAGGCGGTGGCTAGACCGTAGTCCGCTCCACACTGAGTGCATGGAACCACTCTTTGATCCTAACACGGCCACAAGGACTGTGCACCCCGTCCCCTCCAGCAATGACCAACTGTCTCCTAGAGCCAATATGGACGAGGTAGTGGGTAATAAACTGGTGGGCACCTTGTCAACATGCACATCAAGCGCAGCCACACCAGGGATATTAAGCAACTGCCAATTACTTGAGAGAAAGACAACAAATAAACTAAACCATGTAATGCATAAGGAAACGGTGACAAATCCTAAATGAGCGTATGAAATAAGTTGTTTACAAACGAATCCGAGGTAAGTTAACGAGGTCAGAAAGTATATTTTACGGAAATGCCACAAGCAAGAAAATGTTGTCGAAATTGACTACAATTGGCCTAAGCGATGTGTGCAAGTTTATAGAAGGGAGTACTGGTAGACATATGAGAAATAAAAGCATTAGGACAAAATTGCAAACCCACCACCTTAGCATGCAAGCACGCTGTTAGTGACTCGAATGCAACGTATCTACACCTTTTCCCAACAATTTGTATATATATATATATATATATATATATATATATATATATATATATATATATATATATGCAAACGGCTGGGAAAAAGGTTTAGAGACTAGGTTACTTTCAGTAGTTTCAGTGTATGCCACAACCGTTATCGGTCCAGATGCCGTCTACGACGCTTCTACCATCAACCATCACCCCTAGTCTCTGTTCAATGGAACACGGATATTTTCCTCGCTTTCGGCTGATAAGATTGCTCAAGTATTTCTCTTTCCGTTATCCGAGCAACGTCTCGGAACTCAGTGCTCTCCTGACTGATGATGCTCATTTGTTTCCTCAACAATGGGTCCACTACAAGGTTCACGGTAAGGTCATTGCTTTCTACAAGGAGCAGTTGCATTACCCAATTCGGACCCGACTTGACTATATTGCCATCACTTTCACATGGCGTACGTCAGCAATACATTGTTGGGTGATCTGGATCACTTAACACGATTCCAAACATACCCAATTATACGCTCACGGGATGTTCACTGTCTATTCCTTGACAAAGCAACAAACTTCGATCTTTGTTTCTCGTCACCTGAACCCACAGTCCGGCGAATAACACACTCGGACCTAGTTATAGTGCCAGATATTAGGAAAGATACCCGCTATTGCGCAAGTACTTAGTTGTTGGCGGCTATTTGTCCGTTGAGCTCACGGTGTCTGCACAGCTTCTGTATTGAACTGAATGAATCTCACTTGATGCGGTGTTAGTGTCGGCTGATTTTCGTTTTTATCACATCTAAACGCTAGCCCACGGAAAAAGTACGAGTTTCCCACCGGATCTAGGATACAGTCTCCATGCCACGCTTTTGACGTGTCAACCGGAACCATATTCCGGCAGGGTAACTCATGGCGTTTTTTATGTGTGTACTACACCTGCTGTGTCAGATAATATGTCCAAATCGGCGTAACACCTGAGCCTGCGCTGTCCTCGCTGTTTCAGCACGTATTTAGTTTGCCGACACGTCTTTTATTGTATTATCATTCATGTGCTTCAGTGTTGGGCGATTTAGGGTTCGTGGCGGGTGGCGCTGAGACTCGCAGCGTGTCTGAGCAATGTGCTTAATACAGATGCTTTGTCCTATTCTCCAGGGTGCCTACTTTACCCCTGTTTTTAGGTTCGATTAAGCCTAGTGCTAAATCTTCATTATGTTTCTGATCCCACCAATGATCGTACTCACCTACGTACGCTGTATACTTGCTTATCGCGCTGTCATTCGACTTACGTTGTGACCGTTACACAAGCATAATCGGGACTATGTCGTAGGGGCAGCGGTGCATACCAACTATTTGCTTGAGTATTGATCTTGATCTATTGTTCATTTCATTTTTGCATTGCATTGTATCCCTTTCTTTGCTTCTTTTTACTTCAAACTGGGAATTCGTTCATGTTACTTGTCCTCATCAGCATAAACTGCCGGCCGTATGTGAACGCTAATGACAGTCATGAAGAGTGAGCTGACCTTCACACAATCAGTCTATAGTCAAGAATTTTCATTGTTGAATCAAGCCATTGATGAACGTCCTTCAGTCCTTGGCTGGCTCATAAACGGTCAATATTTGTGAGCAGCTACCTGTGAAATGTCCATCACAAGATCTTTCTTTCAGTTAACCTTTTGTGTTCCACCTCCTCGGAAAGTCTCCGGTGCTCCTCCATTGCTTGAATGTAGAGACATTTGCCATACACACACGCATGCACATGCGCTCACAGTCTTGTCCAATGAGCCAGAATACTGTGTCCACAACCGGCGCTTGATCGCACCCTAACAATGACCACAAAGGCTCATTCGTAAACCTTAGACGTCAATGCTCATCGTGAAGCTTCCGAGTCGCTTAAACTGTTGTAACGTTAAAGCTGTATGACGCTACTGGAATCGCCACCGCATTCCGTCATTCCCCTAGGATACACACCTCTGGCATTTGAGACACATCCTGTACTAGTCAGACCTTCCCTTTCAAATATTGTCACAGATAAATAACCACCCCCCAGATCTGATACTTTTTGGAAACAACACGTTTCTGAACTATTTCATGAAAATGTCTACCTCTCCTTCTATCCGTTGTAGCAACGTTCTCGTAGGCGGTGTTGCATCTGTTCTCTCGTTCTGGTCGTCGCAATAATTATCACTATCTTGGTGCTCATTCTTGTTTACGGACCTGGGTCTAAAAAGTGAAAAGATCGTCATTATGGACTCTATCGGACCTCCGATCTTGGAAATTTCTTCTTAAGACTATATTTTCCCCTCTACTCTCTCCCTGTACATATTGTTTGATTTGTTTCTTTTATTTTCAATCATGGGATTACAACGATATTTTACGTGCTTTCGACGAGATATATTTCTTGTTCCTTTTGTACAGCGAAAAAATAGTCAGTACCGCCCCCGGTGTGTTTTTGTTCACTGTTAGAGGCAATGCTGTTCACGAACTTGTCGTTACTTCTTTCACGAACGTAAGACGACCACCAGTGACATGTGATTTAGCCGTTGCTCCCACAGCCTTAATTTAGTCACTCACTAATGATTTGTTGTTCACTTCCACCATTCGTATATAATCAGGTAGTGTTCTGTTGTTGCTGTATCGGGTTCGGTCAACTTCTCTAGCTTCCTCATTTGCTCGTGTTTTAGCAACATTGCCGCCGCGATTGCGCACTGTGTTTTTTGCTGATATAACTGCATCTCATACGAATGAAAACAGTGACGCCATAGTTGGATAAGTTCCCGTGACTCATGTGTGTTTGTATGTATGTTATGCGCTTGTTACCGGGTTGCACACCACCACTGTATCCTCTTGTTGATAGATATGATTGTTTCCATTTCTACTATATATTGTTTGTTCACTTTTCACACAAAGCTGGACACACTGTAGGTTCTAATCTTATGACCACCTGCTTGAGGGGCCATTCCTACCATGACCGCTTTGGGCACAGTTGTATATTGCTTCGTTGGCTGCACTTTTGGTTGACTGAGATTCGATCGATTACAAGCGACCAGCGTGCATTTGCCAGTCCTCGGTTTACTAGTCTGACATTTGAACTCCCTTCTGGGATCTGTGCAGTCGCCAGTCGTATGGTCCTCCTGTTGAAAAGTCAACTCGGTTAAACTACTGGCCCGATCACGCACCGATTGCATGCTGTCGGTCGACTTCTCATCAACAATGAACTCGTTGTCCCTCACTTTGTTCCTTATGCGATCCGTCAAATCTAGTTGCGAGTTTCGTTGTGGTCTTGGTACACAAGCCTTATCGATGACTGTCGGTGTGTACAACAGCTGCATGTAGCTCCCATTTTTAGTGCAAGCGGTGCACTTGTTCTCGCCCAGCTGCACATTGCACCCAAGAAAATCCACGTTTCTTCTGAGGGTGGTTTTTCTGTCCATCGTGGACGACTCAGTTTGTTGCGCACACGGATGCCTCGGTTTCAGTGTCTGGTATGGATATCCTATGCAAAAAGAGAAGAACGGATATGGTATTAGGAGCTGATCCGAGCATATTATAGTGAAGCTTTACAATCCGTACTTTTCGGCTATGATTCATTTTGTTTAATTGGTGAACTGTTTCAACGTTTTCTTGGGCATGGTGAATAATTTGAGCTACCAACTTGATTTCCGCCCACGCCAGGATTTTCAGCGCGTTTACGTGCGGCGGTATTCCCAGCTCACGTTTGACTGAGTGAAACATTATTGGTAGGCAAAATTACTTACTGATGCTCTGTACACAGTACCTACAAAGCATTCATTAGGCTTCGCACGGCTTCGACGCGCTTATTATAATGGAAGTTTGCCTCATGACCTATGTGAACCATGGAAAGCCAGCATTTCTGGCCAATACCAGCGACTATTATTTTTAGATTTAAAGGTGCCTTTAACTGGCCCATTATGTATTGTTTTCAATGCTGTCAGCTTTAGAGAATCCCACGTGATTTGTCAGGTTGCTTCGTGTCAAGTGTACTCGTATGGCTTCTGGAAGTTTCTCCCTCTCCATTTCGTTCTCACGATCATTTTGCAGTAACCTCGTCGACTAAACTACTTGGAGCAATGTTCCAAGACGAAGAAATCACTGTACTCACGAACAGGTTTTCGGAATTTCCGTACCTACCATTCATTTTGAATGACACACACATCTATTGCTCCAAGATTTGTTCAGCAGTATTCCTTTTTGCCTTCTACCATAATTGTTTTGACATCTAAACATACTAGGTTGCACAGCGTATAACGTGTCTCATACCGCTATTCTGAACCGCTCCACTGCAGCTATCATGATAATGGAAGTTGGTAACTCCTTTGTCTCATCATGAATACTTGTCGTGATAATGTATTTTTTGGTTTTCTCAACTTCTACACTCCTTCCCTTGTGACTTCTGCGTGGCTGTCAGTCTCACTTGTTCCTCTTAGTATTTTCGATTTGCTGTAACATAATACTGCTAGTCAAAGTATGTTTCGCGCTTAATCGATAGACATCTAAACACTTAGTCAACTTCGGTGTTTACTACCCAAAATCCATCTTCGAGTTCACTCCATCGTTGTTATACGTTGTTCAGCAATCCCTAACCTTCGTTTTGTCAGCATCGAAATACGGAGTGGATAGCTGTAACTTATACAATTGATTATGCCACTTTAGAATTTCCACTGAACCATATGTACTCACTTTCGAGGTCAAATATGAATCATTTTACCTGTTGTCATGACGCTTCCTTCTAGCAGTGGTTCTCTCTGTCCACTTGACCTGTTCGGAGTTTTGTTGGCAAAATCACCGGACATTTCCATTCCGTATGCTGTGCTGCAAACGCGTCTGTGTTTGTCACACCTCAACCGGCCATTATGATGTAGTACGGCGATTCTTCCGTCGTTCAACGCAGGCAATCCTGGTAGTGTCTCAAAGTATTGCGCGCTCATTGTGGATGGATCTACTTCCAAGTTGATCGGCGAGTAACTCAGCTCGTCTACCTGGGTCATCGTGGCTGGAGAGAGAGAGCTGTGACAGGGCGAGCCAATGGGTACTTCGTTTGCCAAAGCAGCTTTCCTTGAGCTCCCGTAATGGATCCCACTGTGTGCTGCATCGGCCTGGAAGATGGAAAAACACTTTGTTGAAGGTGGATACCACTATTGGTCTGCTACTCGCCGCGGACACCATTGTCCAATATAACGGTTAACATAATTGCTATTCTTAGTACTTCTGTGTCCACCCCCGTCGGTTTAGAGCTGATCTCGCGCTTCCTTATGGGACTAGTCAGATGACTCGAGAGTAACTCACCTTGCTGCGCAACTGAAACCTGGGGGATCAAGTTGGTTTTCTACTGATATCGGGCTGCGTAGATCAAATTTTAATCTGCGGCATTTCTTGGACCAGAGTCACACGTACCATCAGCCGGCTGTAGCTTTATTAATCTGTTCCACCATCACGTTTGCCAGTGTTTATCGTTTCGTTCCGTTTAAATCACTTACGTCCCAATGAAATATGTGAATATTTTACCTGCCTAGTGCCGGAACGTCGCACGTATAACCACCGCAAATTGCCGGACACCTTCCTGGGATTGCTTAATTTCATTTCTTTTCGGTTTTATCGTAATTTTCATCATCGGGATGTTTTGCGATGCAGCTACCAAAGTGTTATCCGAGTAGAACTGCTCGATATGAACTATACGGACGTTGTTATCTTTAGTTTTTCAACTACGAGATGACAGTAGGCACCCGACAAATTTGCAAGAGTTGTCACTTCATTTGACTTGCATTTCTCTTCCTTCGATTGCTAACTGCTGTCATTGGCCTACGAACCACTTGTTCACCCTTTGAGCAACCGGAGATAACTGTTGGATTCCAATATCCTGGCTGATGTGTGGCTGCCGATGTTTACGCCTCTTAACAGCAAAAGCTATGGTTAGGAATCTGCGACTCTTCTGGTTCTAAAAGGAGATTTTCGCGCTCTGTTCTTCATAGTTTACCTTTTATCACAATCAGGTTAGTTCTCACATGAAACAATTGAGCTTGTTCTCTTCTACATGTTAATCTCACAAGCTTTCAGAGCTTTGTCTACTCTTCATCACGCAGGGTTGCTCGTGCCGACTGACACCGACATGCTCGGAGTAGTAATTTGCATGGGCGGATATTCTGCGTTAATGGTCCGTCTATTTCGGTAGATCAGATCAGCAGACTTGACTAAGTGGTTCGAATACGTATTGCCTATACTTACCCACTGCTTTCCTAGGATGGCTCTGTTTTGTTTACCGCATCTAGAGTTTGATGAGACAACCAACTTGCTTGCAGCGGAGAGCCTAACCTGTGATCGCTAAATTAGGTGTTGTTGGTCCATCGCGCTGTCCATTCTATTCTGTGATCAAGATATCACAGGATGCAGAACGCAGCTGGCACAAATGACATGCTGCCGTAGTCTTACAATGCGGGCACTATCCGTCTACAACTTGAGTGATGTTAGGCCCCTTTTCGGAATTAGGCTGATTATACACAGGACAATGGAGGTCGATTATGAGGTATTGCGCAATTACCCGCAAACGCTACCAGCAAGTTGTGGCAACTTGGTCCGGACTATTGTCTTAATGCGTTTTGGTCCCACGTGAGGCACGACTCATTTCAGTCCTTATCTCCCATTGCTATCACATTACCACTTTTGCCATCCATTTGCGTTCATACTTACGAATGATGGAATACTACTCTCATGGGGATTTTGGGATGTTTACGCGGAGGAGGTCTGTCGCTGGTTGTTTGTTTTTAGACTCCCCTTGACAACTTTCCCTCAAGAGCTGTACAGAGGTCTGACTTAACCAGCGATTAGAGTCCTTAAAGCATTCTGAATCGAAGCTTCAATTGTTTCTTTTTGGGTATGAACTGTTTACTTTATACTATGATGTGTCCGGCTTTCAACTCGCTTATGCCGCTAATACCTCTAAATCATTATTCGAACACACCATTCGTCTGATTTTTGCTTGAACGTTGGTTATGAAAGACACTGGCCTGCCATTTGTTATCTTCTAACTGTGCATACTTGTCGTGGCGTTTTCTTCTAAATGACATCCTCACTTACCCAGGAGAACTTTTCGGCCTTGCATTCGGCCTCGGGCTCTTCGGATCGTTTGTATTTTTGGTTGAATCGCACAATGATTGGATGTTCACCTTATCATGGGTTGGAGAGAAAACATTTGAGTGTTGGTAATAACATATTAGGTATTGTAGAGCAAATACTATGCGTAGATAACGGAAAGTATCCTTCAAACATTCTCCGGTACTTCCTACCGGTCTGCAGCTTAATGACGCAGGGTCTGTTTTGCCAACCTTAATCCGACCACTAATGTGCCTAAGCACGATGTCATAGTTACCGGAATCTATGGTAGCACAATGCAACCGAAATAATGATTTGTTGCTGTTGCATTTATTGTTGGCACACGAAACACATGCTTCGAGGGATACCGCTACGGATTGTTGGGTTTGTATGCATTAGTCACCCACTTATTCAAACATAAGCCATGTGGATGCACCCCGATGCTGCTTGGATCGATCTGTACTTCTTTGCTTTCGTTCGTACTTTATTTCTTATCATGACATTCCGCATCAATTAATCTGAGTTCAGCCGCACTGAACTGTTCCGGTTCTAGCTTGACTCACTCCCGAGCCGCTGGAGCTCCGTTTCCTGGTTTTTCTGCAGTGCTTCGTTTCTATCGAAGTGTATTTTCTGCAACCTTGATACTACCATAGGTGGAGTATTTTTCCGGATAACCTTAACTTCTCCATTATAAGTTTATGCCGTTTAATGTAGGGGAGATGCGTTATTATTTTCCGAACTATTACTGTACGTTATGGTGGTTTTACTCTGCTTCGAGCAGAGGGTGGTGAGTATTTGGAACAACCTGCCTACACGTATAGTCGCTGCAACGTCGGTGTTGGAGTTTAAGAAACTCCTGGACTCGCAGTTTGCCTACTTAAGATTTCGAGGACAAGCATCATCATAACAGTAGATTTGCTTAAGAGATATTAATTGTAGATGTTTGTGAGTAGGGTCAAGTTCGTAGAAAGTAGAAGTCACGATTAAAACTCACACACAATAATGTGCCTCGACGGGGAGTCGAACCCCGGCCCAACGAATTTCCGGCCCGCTGCTCTACCACTGAGCTACCGAGGGCTGACGATTAGGTGCGAAGTTTTAGTACATGACTTCTGCTTGGTGCGCGGCGTATTGCCAATGAGCTCACAGTATCTGTCCTGGTGTTGCAGATTGGCTCACTCACCCGCAACTTCCGAATGGGCCGAAGTATCTGTCCTTCTAATGTCCAATGGGCGATGGTAGATTAATTGTAGATGTTTGTGAGTAGGGTAAAGTTCGTAGAAAGTATTAGATGTAGCTACACAGAGGCAACTCTGATCGCTGAATATTCTCATTATTCAGTATTTTAAGTGGTATACTTTCATACCGATCGGATACCGGCTACTGGTGGTTTCAGAAGACTACCCCGTGCTTCTTTTTCTTCATGCTCTTACGTGGTGCTCAGTTAGATCCTTCGGTATCGACACCTAAGCGTACATAGCGATTGTGAAGCCACGAAGCTCGTTACTCCGTAGTTGTCCCCATTATTGTTAACACGTTACCATGTACAGAAAACTATCGGAGAATATGGTAAGAGGAACCATGCCTTAAGCAAATGGTAGCTAAAACGATGCCTAAAAGTCGATGTAAAGGAGAGTTTGCGTCCGACTGAAGGAACATGACTGCGAAAGTGTCACTGCGCCACGTCGAGGGTGTCATGAGCCAATGCTGTGCTCGGTCCCGAAGGTCGCACCTACATGCAGGGTGCTTGCTCCAGTACGGTTCGGCCTCTGGTCCGCTTGTGTATAGTTCCTAGTTACTTCACTCACTGTCAATCTCTGGTTTATGCTCAATTGCTAGCGGTACTGGTGGGTGATACACGACACATTGAGTGTTCTGGCATACGAAAGAAGTACCCTGGGCGATTCGGGTCTAGTTGACATTTCGGTTCGGATTCTGATGGTTCAGTGTCCACCACCTATGACTAAATATGGTCCGTGCATCGGTCTGCGGTGACTTAAAGCTGCAATAATTTAATCGCCATGATAACTTGGATTAAAAACGACGGAGTGGCAAAGAACGGGCGATTTCAATACAAGGTTAAGTAACCATTGTATGGGGAATAAAACGTCTGTGATTGTACAAACTGATCTGCACCGCTACTTCATTAGATGAGCCACGTTTTTTTCAACCACTGGCTAGCCGAACAACCTTCTCGTGGTGTCAGCTGGGTGGTTCGGGTTTAACCCGTTCCAGCAAATAGTTCGGCGGCAGTGTTCCAGGACGTGGTGGGTTTCGCCTGGCAAGCGTTCTCCCTATAAAAAGCCACAAATGTCTGCTTAACAACACTGTGACGTGGCGGTCGTGACTCGCCACAAAATAAAGTCACTGCCCCGTGGATATCCGGATAATTCTCTCCAACCCACGGACACCAATCTCCTACTCGTATATTGATGACAATATCAAACATTGAAGATTGGAGCAGCACAACTACAAGCACAAAATACACAGATACATACACATACACACACAATGACATACATACAGACCCCCTACACAAACAAAACTGCTATGGCAAACATATTGGATTTTTGCACATTTTTGATTATGCACCGTTATGTCAAAATGATCATGCCTGTAAAGGCGTGCCTCACATTGTTGAGAATAAAAGATTTATTTATTTATTTATTTCGGGTCGCTCGTCATGCTTGAGGACATTGATCAGTTAATTACCGAACTGAAGTGATTTGGTTTCCACCTCATTGCTAACTCTCGGTCATACCAGGCTCGGTCTGCGACCCGTGTATACTTGGTGTAGGCCAAAGCATGAGCCGACTAGCACGCGAGAACATAAAAGCCAGTGTAAGCAGTGCAGGCAGAGGGCATTCTGTGCTATTTTGTGAAGGCACGTCGCAGACAAACCGGCAGTCTCCACATATCCGAAAAAGCATCAGGCCGCCGTTTCGTCCCGTTGGGACTCCTCAATATCGGGCATACCAATACTACGGAAGGGCTATCTAACGTTTTCCCGGATGTATGGGGCTCTCTGACACTCCGTATCCCTAGGACCCTAACCAGAGAGTCGAGAACCACTGACCGGCGCCAACTGTCTCATCCGCTTTTGCATGCCGCTTCTCCAGGTCGTATACCGTTCACTGCGCCGCGTAGTCCAGCTCTGCCCAGCAACCACGAACCACACCACCCATGGAAGACGCTGAATGGGAATGCTCGATACGTGTCCAGGCGGCGGCAGCCACAGTAGCAAGACGAGCTCCCCGATTGCGTGGCCGCCTCCAGACCGGCTGTGACTTTATCAAAGGCACTAAAACCCAACTATTTACTGAACAGTAATAGCCCTTGTACATCCTAGCTCTGGGGCTGACCGGATCCTCTACACGGTTGCAATATACATGCCAATGATTGAGTCGCGCTGTATCTCAGCAATCAGTCGTGACAGTCGGTCGCTGTCATCCGTAGTTTAATGACAGGTCGATGACTCGTGAGTATAAGGTCATGAGTTCGGATTTGGCGGGTGCAGGCTATTGACGAGTCGCACCTGGATGAACCAGCTGTCGAGCGCTTCCCGAGGAGCTCAGGGGTTTTCTAACAGTCTGGCTACAACTAGCCTCAAACTACAGCAACCCACACCGCTGTTCAGTGGTTCAGCATGGAAGTTGAATCTGCACAGAGTCATCCGTTGACATTAACTAGTTGGCGGTATTCACCGTTAGAGGTTTCGTTCTGCCATAACTATGGACATTTCTTCCCTTTCATTGCTGGTCGTACACAGCCAGTCTCCTCATTTCTCTCCTTACTGCTGTGTTGTTCACAGCTGAGCAACCTTTACTGCTGCGGAAAAACGGTTCGAACTGGTATTTCGTGCTCTGATTACAGCAGGCATTATCACGCCAAGTGCGCTTATTTGACTGCAACAGAAGAGAAAGAGATGGACCACGAAGCAAGCTTCTTTTGGTTCTGCCCTCATTGTGTGTCCGTCCCACTTGTTAGATGCATAGCGATTTTTGCGCAGCAATGCGATAACCTAGCGGCAATTGTCGAATAGTCTGGACTTCCTAAATGTTCCCCTTCGGAATCAATCGCCTCCAGGCCCAGCACCGAAGGCTCCACATCTGAACATAGTAGCCGAGTCGAGGCTAAGGTTGAAACCCTAAAGCTAGGTACACGGACGATCACTCCGAACTCAGACAAACAACCAAGTTCCAACTACCTTGGCGACACCCATCCTGGTTTAAGGATATTGAATTGTAATAAAGCTGTAGAGCAAGCTACACCGGCACACCGGAATATATCCGCTACGGCTGAGGACGTGACTACCCTCGTCCATCGACGCAGTCCAAGAACCAGGAGCAACTAAATTAACTGCACTGGCCCTGACCATACAGTGCGCCACTCGTGTGCCCATCACTCCACCAAAACTCAGCCCCATCCTTCTCTTGCCGATTACTTCTAGACGAGCACACAAGTGAACGGTTGTATGTTCCTACTTTCCTGAATCTAGTGCGAACCACCTAAAGGATAAGCTGCCAGAGGACCGAAAACAGTGCGTCTCCATATGCCTATTGATAAGCGTCCATCTTAAACCGGCTGGCACGAAACGCATCGGACGGCGTCCCGCTTCGACCCACTTTATCATTTGCGCAGGGCATTCGCGATTTTGAATTCATCTTCTGTCTGATTTGCAATGCCTACACGCGTTCCCACATCGAATGCTCTATCCAGGCTTGGTAAATCTGGCTAGCGTGTGCCTTCGCAACTCTCAAGTCCCCACAACGGCTAACTATGCAATACGTCTAGGCTTTGCGCCCCGTTCGCTACTGGGAACGGATGATGAAACTCAGTGTTTCATGAACGCCACTGGTGGCTACGCGGAGATTTCATGATAATTTATCAGTCACTGAGCCATCCCAGTCATGTATGAAACCCAGTCCAAACACTATTTTGAGAGACAGTAGGTTGAAACTGAGTCGACGATAAAGTCTTCTAGATTGTCGCACAACTGACTTCTCTCTCCGGGTCTGCCAACTCTAGAACGCGCATCCAAACTCAGTTGTCTGTGCCCCCGAGTTAGCCATTTTCAAAACCGCTTGGTTATTACGCTCAGCTCTGTACACTTTGTTATATGAACAGGTGCTCTGAAGTATATTCCAGTTAACTAGCTCTGTAATTATTAATACACACTGATGCAAGTCAATCGGTGCAAGAGCATGAGCAATCCGGTGGCCATATTAACTTACGTTTTGCACGACGTTATTCCCACAACCCTGTTTCTACTACACCGTTGCCCTGTCGTTTCACCGATGCATATATATTCCATCCACTTGTGTAGTCTTCTTAATTACGATCTATGGGACATGTTAAACCCAGGCTGTTTTCCCCGCCATAAACTATTGTTCTATCGTTTCGGACCCAACAAGAGCCACAGCATCCAGGTCCGAGGCTTGACTGAGTAAGGGCGGGTGACGTTCCGGATAAATTATGCCTAGTTGACATCAACTGGCTTGTTCTGAGCTGCAGTGCGGCATGGGTTCACATCACTCATCCACTTTGTACATTCACACTGATGTACCCTAGCGTATTCCACTCCGCTTTCTGTTTTCCGATCCCGTACATCTGTTTTCTAGCATATCACCCCCGTCCCTTTGACATCTCCCTGGACTAACTCGTCCTATCCTTACTGCTCCTTTCTGCTACCGATCTGTTCCCGATGGATTGGTGGATTGACGGATGTGCATTCTTTGCGCAGCTTCTGTTTCTCGTTTCCTGAACATGTCGCATCCAAACTGCACTCACAGACTGAAGATATGGCCGTGGGTAGTTCACTTCGGCCTGTGTTAGCTTATATATTCACGGACCACCTGGAAGTCACTAAGCTAAGTCCTTAAATACAAAACTTGCATTCATATAGCTGCAACATATATGACAATTTCGTCGTTGTGGGCACTGCAAGCAAGCGGAACACTTATTATTAGCTCTAAGCAATTTTCATCTCTCGATCGAATTTACAGCTGAGAACGAATCTTGCGGTTTTTTTTCTTTTTTGTATATTAACCTAAGAAGAAACCCAGATAGTACATTATTCGATCTCTATAATGCAAACCTACCTGAACTGCATTACACAATACTTTAACAGTATCTGTCCTGTGAATTACGAACGAGCTCCGGTTCGTACCGCCTTTACGAGAGCTCGCCATATTTACACTGTGGAAACGATGGAATGTGAACTGCAACGCGTCTCTTAGACATTACTTGAAAACGGATATCCTAACATGTTCATAGCACGGCACACACACGAACGCGAAAACTAGGAACAGAAGGGTGTCCGACGTCCCCTAGACAAAAGTGTTCATATTGCTACCATTCAAAAACAGCCACAATGACAGGAGATTCTGATATTGTCTCCGTCCTTCCTTAAAACAGTGCTATTGCGCTGCTGAGCTTGAGCCTTAGCACTACATCAGGATGTTGCTGTTTAACTTCAATCTGGAGGAGCCAGACTGTCGAGTTATCGGCTCATGCAATCACTTGTTTCACTCAGTTGTTCTTTTGTTCTCCAAGCTTGGCGGTTTGGTTACAAACGTTTCACCACCATGCTAGCTGACATCGCCAGTGCATTGAGATGCAGCATGCAATCTTACTGAATGAGTCGTCGATCCGTTATCGGCCTGTAGGTGACTTTTGAAAGTTGCAGCCTCGATTTTGGTCCCGTGATCTCTACCCATTTCCCCACGACTGAAATCTGTGCCCTAGTTTTTCTGCTTTAAACCGTCTGACAGAATCTACATTATTTCTTTCTGCCGAAATGGTTGATAAATTGCGCCGATGTCGACACACATATTGATTGAGTACTTTGTTGAAAACCAAGCTTCCAGGAATTCCCTTTCTTTCATTGTTTCACCTCGTGCCATGACGGTTTAAATCAGAAAAACTCGGGCGCCGATCTCAGTCGTGGGAAAAGTGGGTAGAGATCATGGGACGGAAATCGAAGCTGCCACTTTCAAAAGTCACCTACAGGTCGATCACGGATTGAGGATTCATTCAGTAAGATTGCACACTCTGCACTGAGATGCCACCTCTCATGGTGGTGAAAAGTTTGCAAGCAAACCGCCAATCTCGGCGAACAAATGAACAATTGAATCATCAACCCGAGCTACCAGTATTCCGATACTCGTTTCACTGTACTTGCGGTAGCGAGTATTTCGGCCGAACTGAGAGGATATTGTCCACAAGGATTTCAGAACATTCCGCGAATCGTTCTAAGCCACTCGCCATTTAGATCGTCTGGCACATCTTTGGCTTCCCCATGTGTGAAAACCCATGTGAATCTTCTAGAATAATCAATCGACAGCGCCACCCGTGTGCTTCAGTTTACTGTGGCTTCGGTAATTAGGCAGCTAAATCCCACTCTGTGTAGACAGGCCGAGTTCGCCGCCAGTGTCGCCTGGTGAGGCCAGTGGTCACATTTCCCTAAGCGTCAGATGAACTTTGACCCCGTCGTTTCACCAATGACATTTCACCTCGTAAATCTCTATATGCAACCTAGCCATTTCACTAATTGTATGTAAACGGCTGACAAGAATACGCGAAATAGCTAAATTCAGATTATCCTATCAAAATGTTGTTATTTCTTGCCATTTCGAAATTTGGGAAGTCTCGTGTGAAAACACACATTTATTCTGTCCACCTGCTGTCCTCACATGAACGTACACCCTTTTTGCCAACTCCAGGATGGATGTGAGCACTTAATCCGTCCGGGTTCGCGCACTCATAAAGTGGCCTGATGCAATCTCCTCTCGTCCATTATTGGTAAAAGTTCTGTTTGGTCCTCATCATGGACACATTGCTATACGAACACATTATTTCCAACAACGTTAGTAGGTTCGGGGCTTCTAAACCCCGATTTTTTATCATCTCAGTACTGCTTTCCTGGTTGTGTAGGCCTGATGACTGTCGGTTGGCATTTCTTACCAGCCCAAGATTCCGATGGTGGTGGATAGCGAAACAGTTTGTTCCCGTCTCCAAGTTCTTCTACATGTTATCATTTCACATATAAATGACGTTAAGCTCGGTGTTTAAATGGTACAACAATGCTATGCATTTACTTACTTCTTTCTGGTGGCTTTCCGCCAGTTGTAGTAAAGTTCTTCCGGAAAACGATTAAAGTGAGACACAACAACAAAACGAGGATCACCATGGCTACCACAAGGCCAACAACGGTGGACCAGTGGGAAGATACCGTGAAGTGTTTTGCAGCCGGGTTGCTGACATGATGATGTACGAGTTTTCGCCTTTGTCTGCTATCTGGCACATTTATTCTACTGTGCAATCTGTTTGAATATACGAATTTGTTGTTCACCGCCACGTCATTACCCAAATCACCTTCGATCCTGGAAGTTTTCACTGATGAGTGCATTAGGTTGTGGTCATCGGAATTTACGCGAATCGTCAGCACCGCCGTCGACGACCGTGGGGGTATCCCTCCATCTTGAGCCTCGATTGTCAACCGAATTTCAGCCGGTTGGCTGCAATCTAAGACCGGGTGAATAAGAAAGAGTTGTCCATTGTGATTGTTAATTTCAAAGTGATCGTTCGTTGGCCCATGTAGGAGGTAGCTCGGACTGGAAGCCAATTTAGTATCTTTCGTAGTGAGTGCTGAATTATTCCTCAGAAACATATTTTTTAGGGTTGAATTTTGTGCTCTGTCGTTCCTAGGCGTTATCTCGTCGTCTTCTTTTGGTTGTCCTTGGTTGACATCCTCCTCTTCCATTGCCCGTAAACCTGCGTCGCTGTCTCTCGTGGCACGTTTTGTTGTAGTGGTCGTCTGTACTCGTAGTATTTTGTATTCTATTTCGCTATTGCGACCAACATCGGAATCGTTCGCTATGACTCTGGCGATGACTTGATGGCCCAACTGGGTGCATGACAAGTTTAAAATGCTACCTGGGCTGTGTGGAACCGGAAACAAAAATTCTGGCGCGTGATCGTTTTCGTCGGAGAGAGTGATGTGAATGACTGCTGAAGAGCGTCTCGGTGGGTCACCATCATCCTCGGCAATCACAGTGAGTTCATATGTGTCCCGCCGCTCGCGATCAAGAAGAGCTGGTAACTTTCTTTTGGAATCAGTGCTGGCTCCGTCGATTTTGGAAGCATGGACTCGCAGTCTGCCGGTTTCTCGATCCAACTCGAACTCTCTGCTCGGATGGAGCAAGGAATAGTGGACCTTGGGAAAACGAAGAGGCGCAGCTGGCATAACTATAGGATTAGTGTCTCACATTTATCCTCCATTACACAACGGAAGTTGACAAGGCGTAACCATTGGTTAGACAATCAAACAAAATTAAGCACACAATTTGTCTAATATTTGTTAAATGATAGTTATCATTATCAGTCGCCTGAATGTGTAACGCATCTAACCGCTCTTGTGTTTCTCAGCGTGTTCCAAGCATGCCCCATTTTCGAAACGCGCGCTTTTGGGTAAAGCATTGGGCGATTTTCTGACGAATCTGACTTACTTTGTATGGCGTTTGGAAATGATGTTTTCTGGCATCAGTATTTGCCTAAATCAGAAAGCCATTGTCACTCCATTTCTTTTAGGAAGAGCGCATTGAAGCACTACACTGAATTTGACTAAACATTTACAATGAAATTGCGTATCTCGGTGAACAAGCTAACACAATTCGAAAGGCGTCAACCACTGTAGAATCGACCTAACGAAATACAAAATGGCAGCTTGACTGCTTCTGTCAGAAGTGCACGGCTGTTCCACTAATAAAATGCGTACTAGCGTTAACACAAAAGTACGACAGTCTAGTCGTCGAAATCAACTTCGTTTGAATGCAAAAACTGCTTCGCTCGAACCGAAAATAACTCATCTTGCACCTTATCCGTCTCCTTCAATTTCTGTCTTGAAACCAAGCAAAAGGACCAGGCGTTCAAACGGCCGCGCAGTACTAGAAACCTTGGGAACCACGAACCAAGTCATCATCGTTACCGATAGAAGCATGCCTAGCTCCACCGCCCACATCCTCTTATCCAACGTATCGACTGTTGCAACCTAGGTAACACCCACCCTTCCGATTGACCAACGAAATCCGAAGCGCTCTAAAGACCGATCCACCTATGCAACCGTTGCTGCTCGGTATAATCGAAGTGTGACCTCAGTAGGCTCACCCATTACAGCCAAAAAGTGGGTCAAGTATCAGGCAGAACCTGCAGAAACATCAATAAATCCCTCGATAACCGCAATTCCCACATCACAGATGACCTAACGGAACTACGGGGCCTTGACAATTTATGCACCAACGTTCCTTAGTCCAAGGCAAACTCCTTAAAGGGATAAACGGCAAGATGCTTTAAAGCAATGGAATTTCCTTTGTGATGTAATCGGCGTACAAGCCAGTCCGACTAATATAATGCGCATCAGTAGACATCCAAACTCGAATCATTCTGAGGAGCCCCGGTTAATGCAAGTAACATTGGGATCAATAGATGATGTATACACGGTGCTTCTGTCGGCGTACCGCCTGCGAACTGAAAACAGTGAAATACGCATATTTCCGGATGTTCCTTGGAGCGAACGCCAGCAGGACAAAAATAATTCAAACGACCACCACACGGAGAGTAGCAAAAGAATTATTTTCGTTCATGGCGTACTCTAGCTAACGACACCCAACAAAGAGAAAGCCCACACTCGTGACCTGGAAGAATAGTGTTACATCCGTGAAGCTCTCTGTGCGAGCGACGTCATACTTCAGTCGTTACACTGTTACTCGTGTCAACAAACTACAGAGATAGTGGCCCGAGGATACTGAAACAAATAGTAGAATCACAACAGATGGCGGTGCACTTAACACGTAGCTGGCAGTTCCTACGCAACACAGTTCCTTCGGAACTACGACTGAAGACAGCAGTTAGAGTGCCTCAGTCACTCGCTGTTCTAGCGGAAACGACACCACCCGCAACTCAATATAACCACAACAGCGATTCAGAAACCTGTGCGCTAAGACCCGTAGCTATTGACAAATCTACCGATAAACTACATATAGCAGGTGCAAGTGAGACTAAATACAGATTGCACTCATATCGCGAATTGGTAATTTACCCAAAAAGCGCTTAGGTTCTGGTCTCATCGGTCGGCACAAATCTACCTTATTCATGTGCTCTTAGTCAACAGCTTTTGTTACTCGGGAAACTTTCTTGTATGTACACCAACGGTCAAGGCTTACTTAGTAAACTTTTCGAAATGCCGCTGCGTCAACCATCCCAAGCTTGCGACCTCATCGCTATAAAGGAAAAATGGTTACGCCCTGATAGAAGTTACATGGAGAGTGAACCACCAGGTATGTCCATTATTCGGGACGACCCACCCAGTAAAGGTGGAGTGGTGACTCTATACTTCTCGCAATGACCTACAATGTGAGCTTACAGAGGCTCCGGTCAGCGTGGTACAAGATTCCCTTTGATGCCGCCTATGTTTAAAAGGCGATGACACTTGCTTAGTGGCGGTCATTTAGCGCCCTCCTTCCTTCGGGCTCGAGATGGACTCCCATCTGGCATCCGCAATATTCAGGGTGATAAACACACCTTAGTCACATTCTCATTACTGACGATTACAACATCCATTCTATGGAATCCTAAGCGGCTCTCGGAGAACAGTTTAAGGCTGCTTTACATGATTTTGTCTCCAGTTACCCGCTGTATGGTCACATCAACACTCCCACCCGATTCCGAGAAAAAGATAAGCCAACGATACTAGATCGGATATTCACCAACGAGAAACTAATGGCCACGAGGTTGATCGTCGACGTCCCATTGGACCGTAGCGATCATGCAGTACTACTCTTCGAATCTATTTGCTATGCGGAATATCCCGTGGAAATTGCCGACGCAGTGAGAATGTATGTACTCTACGATGTATTTGCTCGACTAGGTGAGACAGGCAACTGAACATTTCGGGCACACGAGGCACTCGCTAGTGCATGTTAACATTTTGTTAGCCATTTTAGCTCACTGATTGCCGAAGCGTCAGCGACTAAGACCATCCACCCGAGAAACGTTTTCTCGTTTCTGCGAAGCAGGACACGGAAGTGTATAACGGTGCGAAAAAGCCTGGCATATCTACAGGCTCTCTCCGAGCACCGAGAACTGGATGGCCTATACCACCCAACGTAACCACTGTACTCAGCTTGTTTGCGAGAATACAGTGGCGTACCAGTAGAAGTTGGCAGTGCATATGGCCTCAGCACAAGCTTCTGTATCAACACGTCAACAGTCTAGTTAAGGTGAAACGGGGGATTCCTCCTCTTCAAATAGCGGACGGATCCACACGGGCACTGAAGGAGGTGGTGAATACCCTGCGCTTACAATATACTGCAACATTTCAGTGTGAGCACTGGCCGCATAACCCTATGACGCTGGTTGTTTTACCCCCAACACTCACTCACATATTCTTCACGACAGAAGCCTTATTAAAAAAGCAGTTGAGTATGCGCTAGCACAGCTCACCTGGAGTTGATAATATACGCAGAAAATCGCTAGCGGCATTAGGAGCGACTTTAGCTGAGCATTTGGCTCGATTCTCGCAACACTGTTTTGAAGAAATGTACGTTCCTGACATGTGGAAAAGCGGGAGGTCGTCGTTCCAATCCAACAAACTACTGTCCGATAATCCTACTACCGTTACTTTCAAAGGTCACGAAGCTATTATTTCTTATGCGCTAACGGCCTACTTAGAAGAATTTAACTATCTTGCACCGGAACAGCATAGCTTCCGGCGAAATGGTTCGTGCACTACAAATCTACTGCTGGCACGATCCAGCTGGACTGAAGCAGTAGACTCTGGCACAGGTGTTGATGTTATTTTTCTCGACTTCTCAAAAGGCGTTCGATCGGTTATAACGTAACATTCTGCTATTCAAACTCTAGACCTTTGGTATTGTTGACCCTCTCCTGGGATGGATCAGAGACTTTTGTCTACACCGGCGCCTGGAAGTACGTGTGCGTGAATCGCTTTCAGATCCATTCCGTTTTGAGTGGGGGGTACCACAGGGATCGGTACCAGCACCAAGGTTATTTTTGACGTATATCGACGATATCACACGCTTCTTGTGCTACAACTGCCTTCTTTATGCCGATGACATCAAGGTGTGGAGGGCGATCAATACACCAGATGAAATCACAGCACTTCAATCTGATCTGGATAGGGTTTACGCGTAGTCAATGCAGAATCTAGTTGGATTCAGTGTGGACAAATGTAGAGTGCCGCACTTAGAGCACAAGTTGGTGTACTCCTACAAATTCGGCATTCAGGAATTTCAAACGTCTTCTGGGGAGAAGGATCTGGATGTTTTGGTCCAAGTCGAGATATTCGAAGCAGGCCGAAACAGCATCTAGGAAGGGGATACAACATCTGGGCCTCGTGCAACGTGCTTTCGGACGATTCGACCTTTCGATTTTTCCAAAACTTATCGGCTCATACATACGGTCACATGTGGAATACTCAGTACAGGTCTGGCAGCCATAGTTGAGGAGGGATCTCACCGTCTTGTAGATACGCAAACGCCGAGCAACCAAAAATGTCAAGGGTCTGTGTAATTTGCCGCATGAACGAAGGCTATAATTGCTTGGGGTCTTCAGCGGACAGTATGGGCGATTGCGCAGGGACCTCCATTTCAGCTTACCAGATTTTGCAATATCCCAACCACGCGCGCCGCTACTTACCAGCGCCCAGTCACAACAGCAATTTGAGAGGCCATCATCTCAAACTGGCAGAGCAGGGCAGTCGTTTGGAATGTCGTTGGGATTTCTTTTCCGTACACGTTTGCAGAACGTGGAATGCCCTACCGGAATCTGTCATATGTGCTCCCACGCTAGCAGAGTTCAAAGTTGGAGTTGACCATGCACATATTTCGCTGCACCATCTTACATGACCCATTACCCATGGATAAACACGAGGGTCTGTAAGCGATTTCACTGGCGGTCACAGCACAGATTTCGTTCTATCTTTTTCACCTCTATGTGTACACCAAAAGGAGACGCGATTTTTATCAACATCCCATTTGCCGTCATTTCTTATGGATTTACCTTGCATTTACAAGCTATACTACGTATACTTCAATGATTTCACTGGTGTAAACCCAACGTTGCTAATGATTATTTTTTATTTCGAAATTTCACCCTAACCACTTTATGGGACCTGTTGAACATTAGCTTTTTTGCCCGTATAAACCCATTGTTCTCATCACTCAGCCC